GCTGAAAAGTATCCGAAACGTCGGGAGTATGTAGTTTACAATAGTAAAATACGCGTAGTATAATCCTAAAATACTAGTTTTATTCATAGAAATACATCATTATTTATTTGTTTGTATTCGGAAATTCTATTCTATACAAATGTCTCATTTAAAACGCGCTCTTGACAGTTGGTTGGTGCCCCGTGCCGTTCATAAAATATAAATGTACTCTGGTGGGATTTTAGTTTGAGTTCAATTCAAACAAGTTGAAGTACGTTTGATAATAATAATAGTAAGATATATAATGAACCGTCCGTGCCCTGGGTACATTGTACTCGTAGTTGATTTTTAATTAGGTCATGAACATGTATACGAAAGAAATGAAAATGGTTTTCAAGAAAATTATTTAAAATATTGTTTTCAAATTTCATCTTTTATAAAGTAATTTGAGCTAAATTCAAGTATTTTTCGATGAGGTCAACTTATGAATTGTAGGGTACTAAGGAACTTTTTTGAGATCAAGTTATACAAGCCAATAATATTTTACAACTACTAAATAAAAATTTTTAGAGTGAAACCAGCCAGGCTTGACAAACCTCACGACAAAGGAGTTTCGTTTCATTTGGGTTGGAGGTACAGATTGTAATGATTTATCCACGGCTTTACTGATTTAACTTCATATTAAACGAAAATAGTAATAATTATCGACATATTTTTTATAAGTTATAATGTTTACGTTTGTTATATTGCTTTTATAATATGAAACAGAGAAATATTATATCTTTTATGTATATAAACTATAATTTAATGAGAACACACTCCGATATTTTTTTGTCTCATAATTTTTCATGTCATTTATTTAGTTTCAATTTGTAATATTTCTTTTATATAGATAAATATTATATTAATAAAGGATCAAAAATGACTTCCATATTAGTGTTATTAAAAAGGCTTCAAAGCTTTCTTTTTGTGTATAAGTGTAACATAATATTGCACGCAACAACGTTATTCTTTATATCTTTTTTAATCATATTACTTAGAAGTAATAAATAATAGTTTTAACCAATATTAACAACACGCATTGATTCAAATAGACCGCATTTATTTTGTATATGTATACATACATATAAGGTCGCCCACGTGAAAATATCCACAATCTCTTAAACAAAGTATTTGACCACCAATACTCCGTTCTTACGTACAATTGGATATCAGACCTGATAATAATTACATCTCAATGAACCCACCACTGTTTTTAACAATATTTTTATCATTAAACTACTGTGTATATGTATTTATTTTATATAATTATTTTAAACATGAACATTTATTGCATTTGTCAATTTGACACGATCATTTTTTACTCATCAAAGTCTATGAAAAATTAGTTTTGTACATGATAATTATATAATAAACAACCTTTTATCCGCGACTTCCACTGAGTTACGTTCAAATTTACAAATGTATAGCTGACCGGGCAAACTTTGTTTCTCCTGAAAGGCAAAAAGCTGTTCTTGAACTATAAATAGTATAATTGACACAATTTTGTTTTTTAAATAAAGATGTGTATAATCATTATTATTTGAACGTTAATTAACTAAACAAATATTAAAAAAATGATTATAACAAACATTATAGTGTGTTCAACAGGCTGTCATGAAAATAGGTCAATCAATCAAAATTGCATATTTTATGGTATTTAGCAGACAGAACTAAACATAGGTAGAGTTAAAAATACAAATTAATCTTTAGTGATCTCGTAATACTAATTGACCTTGCTGGCTTGGTATTTGGAGTTTCTCAGGGAACCAAGGATTTTTAGTGCTCTTGGGATGCAAACAACTCTTCTGTTTTCTCGTTTGCATTTCAGCTCATTAAAAAAGCTTACTAATAAATACTTAACAAATTTTAATAAATTGATGCAATTTTTTTATATTAATATTTTGTGTAATAATTAAGATTAAAGTATCTTAAAGAATATTCATTTCACAAATCTTTGTCAACATCAGCTGATTACGTTTGTATACATGATTTGCCAATTTCTATTGAAATGAACTATACAGTATTTTATATTCATTTTTACTAATAATTTTAAACATATTATATATTTTTATGTTATTTTATCTCCACGGTGCTAATTACTTTGGTTTTTCATTCATTAACTCACACTTGATATGGCAACACACAAGTATCCGTCAAAATGGATCTATCTGCAATGAATTTGGATACTCAGCCTTATTTTCCTCCCTGATAATTCAGCCCAATAAGTGTACATATTACTATATATTTTGGTCATAAAGTACATACATATTTAAAATAGCTTTAAGAAACGCTGCTTGTGTGTCCGTTACAGGCCGAACCTGATTTCGGCATTGCTTGTGATATTACCAGGTGTTTGAAACACAAAGGCTTTTTTGACAACTTTCCAACGATAGTCAAACCTTTAATTGGAGTATATAAAATATTTAAACATACAAAAAACTAGCTTGTCTGAATGATCTTTTTATTTTAGTAGATATGAACTCAATTACTTGTAAATGATTTCATTATATATTTAATGTTTGATCCTTAGTTCACTATAAACCGGTGATTCTCGTCATTTTTTAACCGTGATACCTCCCAAGTGTTTCTGTTACATCTCGTAAATCACTCGTGCCGCCATGCTGTCGTTTATACTGAATTATAGCTGTTTATCTTATGAATGGAGGAGAATACGTTTTGACGTTCATGATATTAGATAACAAATACAATTTGAGATAAAAAAAAATGTTATATATTATTTGATACTTAAAAAAAACACGTAATATTAACAAGACTTAGAGTTGAATATATACTTTTTAAATGCAATTTAATTGCTTGATTACAATCATGTATATATTAATTCAATATGCTATATTTCATTATAGTATATGTCTTTACGTCCATATATATACAGAAAATATGATTGCTACTCATGTTTTCGTCACGTTTGTACATGTTCCTGAAGCAATATGTTAATGTAACTTGCTTTATTATTTTGTAATTTATATTTATAAAAACTCTCTATCCATGTCTCGAGTGGATCACTTTAAAGAAATAGAATTTCAACAGACCGTCCCACAGGAAATCAGCTTTAAGATATTTTTCTATTAAATTTAGAACATCAGACTTTAAAAAACACGGTACTATAATTATTTTTTAATCGTGATTTGTTCAAAGATCAACATATTTATTGAATAATACACTAAGTGACTCTTTCTTCGTATTTTTTCTTGTTGTTTCATAGGTATAAAGAAGCGGTTAAATTTTCAGTTTCTATAAATTACGAAGTATCACTAAAAAAGTCAGTGGTGGCCTAGTAGTCAGTGGTGGCCTAGTGGTTAAAAGGCTCGTCTCTCTTGCACGAGGGCGCGGGTTCGATCCGGGCCCGGGCAAGTACCAATGTGATTTTTCCGAATCATATATACTTTCTAAAAGTATTTAGACATCACTGATTAATGTTGATTCCCAAAAGAGGGTTGATGTCAGGCAGGCGGCTGATCGTGAAAACAATTAGCCAAAACTATTCACAACATGTAAGGCAGACCCTGGCTAAAGCTGGGAAACTGCCAGGTAGAAGGAGAAGACAAAGTACCACTAATCTCCACTTTCTTCTTCCTAATATGTAGCATCACTAATATTAATAATGAAATATTTTTTAAAATAACTTGCCTTAAATATTTGTTGCCAGTTCTAAAATTGAAGTCAGATAAATTAACTGGCATATTTATCTGTATTAAATAAACTTTAATGTTGCCCTTGTGCAAAGTAATATGAGCACAGATTATAAAAAAAAACACTCATTCAAAATTAAAAATATTCTTTTTGTTTATTGTTTAAAAGCATTCAATGTGCTTCAAGTACTTCATGTTTCATAATAATCTTTTATCATAATCTTTTTTATTTTAAAAACAAATAGAACTGTTCAAATTAAAATGTTTAAATTGTAAGTACATACATATGTATGCTTTTACTTAGAATACGTGTAAGTTTGTCAGTATATGGGAAGCATTAAATCTCACGTGAAGTTGGGATCAGACAGCTAGTTTTTCACAAAGTTTAGACGAAATCTTTTTCCGGACAACGTCACGTACGAACAATTTATTACTTTTTGACATGACATCTCACTTTTGCGCTCACACGAACGGAAAGTTATGTCACCTTCAATAACTCTATATACATGGCAGAACTTGGCTATTGGCGGTTAAAATATAATGTTCTAGATCCTTCTTAAATATATATAAAATAGATTATTTAAAAATATTTACAACAAATCTTATCCATGCAAAAGGCTAAAAACTATTTCAGAAATATAAAAAATTGTTTTTTTTAATTTAAACTTTGTTCAATATTTTATTGTTTTTATTCTCCCTGTTTAAAAAAAGTAACAATGAGTTTAGTTCTCTTAATTTTCCATTCATTCGTGTGGAAACGTGCGCAGTATATTGTGCCAACGTCACGTAATATGGAGAAGAACAGAAATAATTATAACCATCGTTTTATGGGACTGACATGACATTTTGACATAACACGTGCTGACATAGGTATTATAAAATTCTGTAACCTCTTGATGAATTTTTGATACACAGAATTCACTCTCTAATTGTTTTTTGGCAAAATGTTCTTCTAATTGACAACATTGTGCAACAAATTCTATAGAAAATGCGCAGTAAACAATTCATTATTCCTGTAATACATAAAGTTTCCTTTGAACACTCCGAGCATTATATAGCTTGCAGCATACGCGAACGTTAAACTTCCCTCTAAACATATTTTATCGCTGTAGAAATTTATGTCTCTCGATATAAGCTTCGAGCTAAAAGTTTGTAAAGTGAGAAAAATGTGCCACGGGATTATGTTCGAACACTTAAATCAGTTTTAATAAGTTTCATAGTTAAGTCTCCTTTTGTTCGCAGATCGGTGTCCTCGGTTACAATGAGACGGAAAACAAACAGCGGACTTGATTAAAGTTTACAGAAATGGTTCTATAGAGCGAGGCAAATATGACCAGCGTTAAATTAAAGTTAATGCTCTTTCTGCTGAATTCGCTGCTCTCGGCCGACCTCGTGCATTCCAGACCCTACTCCGACTACAACACTACTGATATTATAATGAATATATCAAACAATAATACATTTAACATCCCGGTAGATTCAAACTCGGATACACTGATCGTGGCTAACGAAGAGACCGCCGAGGAGACCAATAAGAATTCAAACACACGTATGGAAGCTATCGTCAACGCTGAACAAGACAGAGACGAGGATTTGTCAGAGAATAATTATCAGGAACAGAGCAGCGTTTTAGGCGTATCCAAGAATGAAGCGGAGGCTTTTGAGAAGCAGTTAAACATATCAAGCCCGTTGCTGGAGGAGATGATTGATTCGGAAACCGACAGAGAAGAAACTCTCACTGATATTCTGTTCAGACCTGACTCTGAATTCGCGGAGGCGGGACCCAGGTTCGAGTTTCTGATCGCCGCTAAGATCAATAGCAGCGACGCTAATGGCACTTTAAAAGATCTCAGCCTTAGCGATAATAATCTTGATAAGAGAGACAGAAACATCAGTGACGTCTTCAGAAAAGTGGACTATGTGGAACTTGTGGAAGTTATCAAAGCTGGTAGCGAAAACAGCAGCGCCTATCACTTGGCGAACATAACAGCACATAATATTGACAATGACTTAGCGCCGGACACAAGTGAGTATAGATCTTTATCGAATTTATGCTAAATACACTTTTTTACTCTGCTAGGGTCATAAAACTTATTTTGATTATGAGAAACAACTGGCTTTAGAATAGAAAAAAGATCATATAAATGAATGAAGGTAAATATTTTTTGGCGAAAATTATATGTAAGTTATATTGCAAAATGTAGTGGATTCCTTTGTTGGAATTCACAAAATGAATTCAACATACATTCCGCGAACATAACATCGTCAAGTGGAGTGCGCGGTATGTTTTCATATTGGAATTAGGATGGATTCATTACAAGCTTACTTCATTCCTGTAAACGCTTGTATAATATGGAGATGATTGGGGTGCATTCTCTTAGGAAATAGTTTATATTCAAAAGGTATAAATGGCCTCACATATTAAAATATTACTAAGAAATAAACATCCATAAAATCTCGGTATCATTTAAAGAATTCCCAGTTATATTATCTAGAACTTGCCATTTTTATACTACAGAAGTTTTTTATAATATCAGATCTATTAAAGGATGAAGATTATCATTAGATAATTCATATGAATGCAGATTATATCTTAGAATGTTCATCATAAATCAGATTAGACGTATTTTGTGTGACAATTAGCATATTAAGGGCGTTATGATATAAGGCTTCAGGCTCTTTATGACCATGTGTAACCCCGCGGGAAGTTTGACAAATTAACGAGCGCCTGGAATTTATGTAAGACTGGGCTTAGGGTGTTTGCTGTTGGTTCAAGTGTAGGCTTCGAGCGGACGTGACGAGACTGGGAGATAAGAAATGCGGAGAGCCTCGTTAGTAGGACTTAGTCTTGATCTAATTGAAATGGATTTGTAAACATTTATACATTGTATGAATTATTTTGTTAGAAAAAAGTAATGTAATTTTAATATAATGAAATAAATATGGCACGATTTGTGTCTGAGCTATAAATGAAATATTATTTTTATCATATATTTTATTATTCTAACACAACTGAGCCTTTTCTGACCTGCTTGTCGTTACTCTTTGTTAGAATTTCATTTCGTATGCATGAAATATATCTATCAAATACAATAATACCACCGAGATATTGATTTATATACAAATATCTCGATATTATTTGGTGATTAAGTTCAAGAAATAGACTGTTAGGTGTTATTATTAGAAGTACATAAGTATTTAGTGAAGAAATTCGACAATTAGAGCCAGAATGTGATTTTTTCTCATTGGTATTGTAAAGTTTAAAGGTCAAATAGTACAGTTAAAAGTCACGTCACTAGTTTTTAAGGGACCATTATTTCTGTACAAAAGACACAATGTCACAAGGCCAACAGACATGTGCATACTATTTTTGTTTCTTCCATATTCGTTGAGTTTTGTTTCAACCATTTTGCAACTGTTAATTATTTTTTAATTGTCCGTCGATGTTAAAAGATCGATTGTTGAAATTATTTTATTAATTATGATCGATCGTTTTAAAAACGAAAAGTAAACTTTAGAATTAACCAATTATTAAATTCTCATTCAAATTTATAAAGTTAAATTGATAAGTTCATTTGAAAGAAGTCGCCGTGTAATAAACAAGTCTTATTTAACGTACTGTAGGCTTAAAAGTTTATTTAATTAATAACCATTGACATTTATTTCAACAAGATTAGATTCAGTTTAAATATGAAAAATGTTGATATATTTTAGTTTCGAAAAGCCAAACCTGAATTGTATTATAATAAAATTTACAGTATGTAGCTTTTTCATAATATAATAATTTCAAACACGTTGTATGTATCAAATAAATATGTCAAGGATTATATTGTATCCCAACAGCTAGGAAAACCATTTTGTATCAGTCTTTTAAACCATCATAAATCATGTGTACTGACAGTTAGGCCGATCAATATTCGATTAATGTTTAAGATTAAATCGTATTAAAATAGATTTTTGGCTAAACACCTATAAAAAAATATATGTATATTTGCTATTTTGGAACAGACATAAAAGTTATAGAGAAGTTTTCAAATTCTTTGTTAATATTTTTGGGTTTGTTTATTCCTCCTGCTTTTAGCAATGTAATAATCATCATCATTTGTTCTTTTGCAATATATGTGTGTCGTTCATCTGATGATGAGTCATGATGATGAAGTATCCTCGTGGATTTGAAGCCTGTAGGCCCGTGACCTGTCGTAGTCCTTTCTATGTTTTCAGGTTACACAGATTTCGAGACTCTACTCCTTGCGTGTTTCGCGACCCTCCTGCCGCTACTCTGTATACTGTTCTCAGTACTCTTCATTAGGTGAGTTAAATATGACATCTAAGATTTTCCTTAATTTTATTCATTTAAATGAAACTAATATATTTCGGATATACTACGTGACTTTATTTTTGTAAAAAAACTACATACTTCCAAACTTTTAGGCTTCTTTTCAGCAACCGTGATCACAGACAGACGAGTTATCATCTCATAGTTAAAAAAAAAATAAAGTTGCGTAATAGGTATATCCGAAAAATATTAGTTTCATTTAAATGAGTTATATATTTTTACGTAGTGTCTGTTATAGGGAATTCCACCGATAGTACAGAACGAATTTATATCTTGAAAATGGACATAAGAGCTATATTTTTCAGTAACGTTTATACTTACTGATGTTTTATTGAACTGTTTTTGGTAATTGATTAATGCAAATATTTTAATAAATTTCGAAATACGTTATCTCATTCTAAATGGAAGAGAAGAGATGCATCAAGTTTCCATGAACATTCTGAGCTTTCAATAATAACATTTTATGTTGTAAAATTTCATGAACATTTTTAGTGATATTTTTGACCTATTATTCACCTATCTATTACATTCTGACTAAAAAAAGGCCTGAAAATAAGAAAAAAAATACAAAACTTATTACACAATCAATATTTTTAAATAATCCGCAACATGATAGCTTACTCGTATATTTACGCTAATATATTTTTAATGTTATGTTAAATTTTTATTTTTTGTTATATTTCAATTTCTTTAATAGGCCACATGGAAACTTTTAAGCTTGCTTGTACCTAAATTGTTAAGATTCTTCTATCCAGGGCTATCTAGTGTTTGGAGAGAAATATATAACTCAAAATTTTCTTTAACCATAAACGAGCATAGTACATCTGCTGCTCTGGCAACCATCTTTCAATTTACTCCCAACTTGCGTCTGGTTGTAATGGAACATGTGACAGTTAGACAAAAAATATTCAGCACAAATTATAATAGCATGATTTTAAAGTATATCCATTAATAAATACTAGAAGAATCGTCATCAGCCTATCAGAGCTCACTGCTGAGCAAAGCCTCTTCACATAGCGGAGGGTTTGAGCAATAATCACCACGCTTGCTTGAAGGATGAATACCAATAACTCATAGTGTGTCCCTACACGTACAAACGTCTAAATACATCCATAACTCAATATGGGTTCACATTAAATTGGATCCCGCAATCACTTTGTACGGAGCACGACTGCACTCACACGGACCATTAACTAACTTATTGATCATATTAAATCCTTTGTTCTCGGATTCAATGTATTTTGAAAACCTTCCCACCTTTATAATATATAGTTGGTTATATTTAATTGTTTTAACACAAACTATTAGTTTATTGTATATTACTGTTAATGGAAAATGCTTGATAGCATTACCTCTGATTTGCCTTTTTATATAAAACACATTAAAAATGTTGCCTATTAAAATTTTCATTTAGAAAATGGTTCAGTCAAGTATTGAGCGGCGTCTTCTCAAGTTTGAAAACTTCAAGACGATACAATTATGTACTTAGTGAGTAATTTGTGATCACGTCACCTATTTAAATGAAATATAAAAGAACATTTTCTGTCATACTATTATATTTTCTAACTTATCTATTTTTAATAGTTTAAGTCGTTCTTCTGAGACTTCACAAGTTATTTTTTCATCGACCTACACAAATATTAAGAAGGTTAGGGATTTACCTACATATGAAGTAAAAATCTATGGATGATTTTGTAAAACATACGAAATATAAATCCATTCAAGATTTTATTATTATATTTTTTTGTATAAAAAGTTATAAGTATTATAATAGATATACTTTTGCTGCACTGTGTTATTAGGCAGAAGAACACAATATTTTATATCTACCCACATTAAATAAAACTTTAAATGTTCTGATTTGTTTGAAATACATTGGTTCAAATTATGTTAGTCACTTGATTGTCATATTAATACATATAAATCAGTGTCATTAATTAATTTCCACTAACTTTTACTATAACTTCTAATATATGTATATTCAAATTCTTGTATATATACTGTCAATGTGAGTAGCTATGTAATAAAGCTGTTCTCTGTACCTATCGTAGTTGCGATAAAGGTTCTGTGGGCACTAGCTTACAGTTTATTAGATTACATTGTACCCTTTGATCTTTTTGTATTTCGGGGAGTTCGGTCGAAATCCCTGCTCTGTGTAACGCTTAAACAGGATTTACTTTGGACGTTATTAGAGCCAGTGTGAAAAGAAACAGGAAAGTGGAAATTATAGTTCAAGAACTTATTAAACCATTGTTAAAGTATGAAGCTGGATTTAAAAATACTTAGAGAGTTTCGCGGTATAGTTAAAGGAGTTAAGTTAGTTTAATCTTATAAAAGAATTCATTAAACTGAGTCTTAGTTTTTAAGTGAATTTTAATTTAGTTAAAATAAACAGAAAATGTGTGACAAAATTTAATTTTCAACATCCTTTCAATATGATGAATTGTAACCACGGTTCATTGACCCGTTTATAGGAGATAAATCGTTTGAAAAATACCGCCAACGCACGTTAAAATGTTGTTCAACTTGGCGTCCTGCCAGCCTTTAGATAGATAGTTGTTTATTAAACTTACATTGTGACGACGCTTAAAAATAACTTAGGAAATTTAATTCTTATCAACAATAATATGTACAGCAAATGTTATATTGAAAAAAGGATAGAATTAAACTTTCAACGTAATAAAACCTAAATATATTAAATGTGTCAAAAGAAAATAGGTCAAATAGAATGATGCCTGAAAATTGGTAACTGAAACATAGATTTTTTATTTAGTAGGAAGTAATTAGAAAAATAAAAGGCCTTTTATTGAATCGTTAGCGGAACAGAATGAACTTTAAAATCCAAACTATTACTGACATGTAGATATATCAAAAGAATATGCTCTTGCAATACTATTTATTTATGTAACTGTAAATTTTCTTTGTCACTACATAATTCTATCTTATGTAACAGCTAGTATTTAATGTTGCTCTTGTATTACAAACAGCTCGTCTATTTCCAGGTGTTTGTTGAAACGTTTCTGGCCGAACGTCACCATCACAGACACTTCCGGGTCGGATAGTAGCGAGAAACGGGAGAATCAGCAGGTAAGATTATTATACAAATATATTATAACCAGCTTTCCAACCGCAGCTTCGCCCGCGTGGAGTTCGGTTATATCGCGTTTCCAAGAGAACTTTTCAAAAGTCTGCGATAAAAACTATCCTGTTCTATCTCAAGGTCAACTCTATCTCTGTACCAAATTTCATTAAAATCAGTTTAGTGGTTTAAGCGTGAAAGCGTAACAGACAGACAGACAGACAGAGTTACTTTCGCATTTATAATATTAGTAGAGATAAAACATTGATTTATAAAAGAAATCATCTAATTTTGGACGAAAAATTATTTTTCTACTATTTCCAATATTCAATTTTAAACTTAATATACGTTATTACAGAGTTTTCTTTTTATATAACCATTTTATAGTTTCAATGAAAAAGAAACTGATATTTGGTATCGTTTGAAACAGCAAATCATTTTAAAAGGCAATGTAACAATTGCGAGATTTTGTTATCGATTCATAGCAGGCGTTCATTTGTTTAAGTTACTAAAAATATTAAAATAGGAATATATTTAAAATTAAATTTTACTGTTATCTGTATTTCATGAACATTATTTTATCTAATATACATTAATATTCTATACACTTATTATAGAATTTTTTAAATATAAATTAGCCAAAATAAAAATATTAATTTCACGTCACATCATCTAGTCTATGTACATATATATATATATATATATATATATATATATATATATATATTTTGTCTGTATCCTTTTATCAGTATGTTGTAACGTGAATCGAATATCTTTTAATATATGTATATATTATAATATGTACTATTTAAAAACTAATACCATACATGTCATACACCATATACATGAATTTATTTTGTTTGTTTCTTTAAAATAGTATTTTTATAATCCTGAATAGTAAATTTTTAAAGCATATTAAATTAAAAACCTCTTTTAATTCTCAATTAATAATTTATTAAGTATTACCAAGTCATACCCAAATCCTTTTATGTACAAGTTTTTTATATGTTAAATAAAGCAAGGTAACTCCTCAATCATTAAAATAAACCTTAAAATATTCACCTAATCCCGTCACGAGTACATTAAAAGAACTAAAATGACAAAAAAATCATTATTGCATACTTGGCAGAGCTGCATTTTTGGTTGCAAGCCCTACAACTTTCGTCTCTCTCCCACCTAGTGTGTGCGAGTGGGATGGGTAGAGTGCGCTTGACCTATGCGCTTGCGCCGCAACGAACGATTTTGGCAGTTTGAGTGCGGCCGCTCTTAGAGTACAGTCGGTGACACAATACTTATGCACATGTTAAATAAATATTATTATTATTATTATAATTTCTAATAAGAAATATTCTTTCAATCACTTAGTAACTAAAGAGTTATTTATATTTCACATTTTTTTAAATTTTAATATATGCCTAATTAGATATAACCAATAGTGTCTGTAAGCTTTATAATAGCTTTTCTATGGTTGTTGCAGCTTATGTTTCTTAGGTATAACTATATTTTTAAATTAATTAAAAATATTAGTAATTGCTTTTATATACCTACTTCTTATTGGTACAAAATTGGTATGTTAGCTAGAGTTTTACAAGAAAAAGACAGGTTTATAAGTAATGATGATTAATATTTTCATTAGACTACAATCCTTTCGAATCTCAAGTACTCTAGGTCTGGTCTATTTTTGAGTAACATTCTTGATATCAGGAAATGATTGTATATTATATCTATATTTTGAATTATTTCTCAAAGATCAAATTAACGGCATTAAATTGATTTTTAAATGCAAGTTATAATAATATTTGTCAATATGTTTATCAATTTGTTTGAAATATTGTACATGAAGATGTATTAAAAGTAATATCCAAAGATACTTGCAGTGATTGTTTGAAAAATGATTACCATCTCGTATAAGGAACAACAATATTTACTAATTTAGAAGATATATTTTGTTATATAATATCATAAGTATCATACACCGTGCCTTTATCAAACAAAAAAATAAACTTAAAATTTATATTTTTCTTTGATACGAAAATATATTTTCCAAATTTTTTTAATATATCATAAATCTACCTCTGTCCAACTTGGAAATACAAATGCCATAGAAAATTTTTCAATAAATGGGTTTGTCTTACTATATATGAAATTAAAGTTAACTTGAACATTAAATTACCATCCTTCTTTATAACTGATACAGAAAATGAAGACTTGTCATTAAATTCCTTTATTAAATTTAATAATAACTTGTGTTACTCACTGTACCTCCAAAATCTATACATACAGCCGTTCTATCCTCTAGTACTTACGAATAATGATTGTCTTCACACACAGACACACACACTCACACACACATACACACGTGCACACAGGCACACAAACACACACACACACACATCACATTAGCTCGTTAAAGTTCATTCGACAAGATGATGTGTATACATTACAAGGATATATTGAACAATTGTTTTAAATAATCAAGAAGTAAATGGTAGTTAGGCTAAAATTGAACATTAACTTTAGAAAATATATTTTAATATATTAATATGAGTACATACTCGTTTCAGTAAAAGCTTTCACTCAGAGTCTCCAAACTCAACTCGATTATTCCTTTGAACAAATACGTTCCCATTTAACGATAACATCGGCTTATTGTTTTTGTTTCAACTCTGAATTTTCTTCCTTAAACATTTCTTATATTTTTATACCATACAACTCTCTAAAGAATTAGATTTTCATATGTAGAAATATTTGTGTATTATCTTTTCTTCTTAATAATATTTATTAAATATGTGTGCACTCTTTTTTGTTGAACGACGCACACAAGACAAATGACTGCCGAAATTTCCCTTTGCCTTGCAACATGTGTATGTATGTATGTATGTGTGTGTGTGTGTGTATGTGTGTGTGTGTGTATGTGTGTGTGTGTGTGTGTGTGTGTGTGTGTGTGTGTGTGTGAGTCGAGCCGGTTCATATGAAAGTACATTTAGGGTACCTATAAAGCCGCTATTTATAGATAGGTTGCCATTTAGGGACACAAGTTTTTGGTGTCGTTTTAAAATGTCTGTAATATAAAGACATAAAATATACTTTTTTTAACGCTAATTACGATTTCATAATAATGTATTTTGTTGAAAGCTTCTTGTATTATATAAAGACAACTAACTACATTTGGCAACCTTTATAATTTATATATACATATTTATCAACTGAAAGGAAAATCAGTTTAGAAAAAACTGTATAAGAATCTTATATGTTACACCATGTACTACATCATTTATTTATTATATTACATACATTTGATACAGTCAATATATTATGTACTCTAAAGTAGCTCATGCCTAAAAAACCTTCAATTGAAAGACCAACATAAGGCATATATTATGAATTTAATAACATTTGTGGATTTTTAAAATGTAAGTTTATATAGAACCTTATTTATATAAAATATATGAATGTGTTGAAGGGATAAGGTTTCAGCGACACACGAGGAGAAGGTTTTCAAAATATTTTGACGTTATACATTTTTATTTATAATAGCACCGGTTTTTTTAATTAAAATCTGTTATTTTTGTAGTTTTTATAAGAATTTAAAGATAATGGTTCTCATATATTATTATATTTAATATAAATTAATGATATATTATGATAAATAGTATTTTAATCATGATTTAATTATATATTTTACTATCCAAGCCATGCCTTTTTGCAAGCTCAGAGAACAATAATTCTCATCTTTGTATATCGTTTAACTATTGTTCCCTAGGAGTTTATTTGTATAGTTATGAAATTAACAATTAACAATCGATAATTATTGATCCAACTATTAAAAAATAAAAAATAAAGTTAAAATGAAAATGTTATTAAAGACGAATCTGTGCGTAAAAACATTATAAATCTCTGAACGTGTATGTAAATATTAATTATAAAAAATGGCTGAAAATTCCTACACATGTTAATTTACATATATTTATTAAAAAATACATAAAATCACTATAATAATTCACGATAGTGTCAGATTATTTACTTTTTTACCGAGCGAGGGACAGACCGACCAACATATTGTTTAATATGAGTGTATTTGAACCAGTTTCAATTTATGTGTAAGGATAACATCGAAGGCTCGTGTTCGCTCTCTTTATTTCACTCGCTGCCAAAATATTTAATAACTTGTCTCAATTGAAGTTTTATACAGCAGGTGATACTATAATATAAGGTGAAATCAACAAGGAGACATAAAATAATCCTTTGTTATTAATTTAAATAAAGTTTAGTTGTATATTTATCATCATCATCATCAGCCTATCAGAGCCCACTGCTGAGCCTCTTCTCACATGGAGAAGATTTGAGCATTAATCACCACGCGTGTTCAAGACGGGTTGGTGATTTCATACTTATAATTTGATAGTATAAGTCTAGGTTTCCTTACGATCTTTTCCTTCATCAGTCAGTGGCGTCTAAATACTCTTATAAAGTACATATGACTCGGAAAAATCACATTGGTACTTGCCAGGTTTCGAACCCGCATCCTCGTTATTCATATGTTGAGGATATTTCAACTAAAATAAAGCCTTCTTATCCTTCTATCCCCCGAGTGCGGTCGAGGTTCAATAACTCCGTAGATATTGTTTTTCTTTGAATTTAGTTTCTCGCCGGAGTCATTTGTGCATTGTCTTCATTTCAATACCCGAATATCCGGCAAACTTTATCATTCACTTGAGTGGCTATGAATGTAAAATGTGCAGTCTTATTTCCTGGTAATAAGGTCTACTTTTGTTTAATAAATGTTTTCTGGCCGCGTGGGTAGTTTGCTAATAGCCACAGCATCTTTGTTACTGTAAGAACTAACGGTAGATTCGGTCGAGAAGGCTTCGTTTGTGAGTATTGAGCGGCGAGGTGGTAATATGCTGACCTTAAATCATGTTGAGGTGTACGTTGAAAGTATCCCGACAACTGGCTCACTATAGCATACCTTTTGTGACGTTTGGTAAAGTTTGAAATTAAATTAAGT